CATCATAAATCGGAAATCAGGAAACAACATATAGACTGAGAGAAAGATTTCAATCCATGTCTCACGTCTATACGATATCTATAATGGAGGAATATATGATCCCTTATCTAAAGGACGCATATCTGATAAGATCAGAGTTGACAACGACTTTTGAAAGCTACGATTGCAGATCAGGATCTGAAGTCATACGCAGAATAGTTATTAGACTTATCCAAGTGGGAGACTGTTGGATTAGTGTCTAAGTCCATAACTATTTTAGTATGTACTTGACCCGATGGTGCATGGTCTTTTTGGGTTGCCTTCACCAAAGCAACTTGATAGGATGAATTATGGAGAGAGAAGATTAATTATGATTTGTTAATATATTATGAGAATAATATATTAAAGAAGAAATCATATTGTTTAATTAATATTCGTCAAGAATTAATTGATAATTAATTTTGTGGCTAAAAGAGATTAATTAAACTTAAGGGACTAGAATTGTAATTACAAGATAATTGCATTTGGGCTATGGCTTACCTTGGAATAATAGGTTGAATGAATTCTATGGGGAAACCCATTAGAAATCGTCCAAGGGTTATTCTAAAAGGGTCCATGGGCTGCTTAGGGCTTAAGCAGTCAAATTAGGGTTTCCTAATTGAAAACCCTAATAGCCTACATGTATATATAGTACCCTTAAGCCCCAAAAACGGGGCTAATAGTTCCATTAGGGTTTCTGGACGTTTTGGGCAACCTCCTCTCTCCTTATTCTTCATCCTCTTGCTCTTGGTGTTTATGAGCCATTAGAGGAGTGACATTTGTGACTCTAAGCTTTCTAAAGTCATTACAAGGAGGATTTGAGATTGTTATTGCTACATAACAATCAAAGGTAATTCTCTAAATCCTAATTTCAGTTTATAATATGTTAGATCTAAGATTGTAAGTCTTGGATACATTGCATGTACAATAGAGAAACCTAGATCGAAGCATTAGGGTTTGTATGAGCACATAGGATGTTCTTAAGGCAAAAACCCATCACTTACATGGCATGCTGTTTTATTAATCATCTGCCCCTAATTCTATTGGATACAAAGAGTTTGGTTGATGTTTGGTCTAGTTTGCCCATAAACTTAAATGAGCTATGGATTTTTCATTGTATTGCATATGCTCATATTATATACTTGAGCTTTGAAGCATGCTTTTTTTTTGCTACAGATTAGAGGTGAAATGGTATAAGCTTTCGGATCTCGAGATGAGTAAAGTGATTATTAGTTGAAACATTGTTTTCAACGAAATTGTGATGTATTTGTGTAACACTTGAATCGGGTTATGTTTCCTTTTAGATTTTTTCATTTCAAAATATTGCAATTTGGACCTTAGGGTTAGTACACGGTGCGTACCACATGGTACGCTTAGCGTACTAAGTGCGGTTGATCACGAGACCAAAGCCTCATATGTTGGACGTATGAGGATTAAGCAGGGCGTATGAGGGGTTAATGAAATCCCTAATTTAGTGGTGTTGCACCCTATATAAGTTCCTTAAGTCCCTAGGGTTGGCCTCTTTACCAACCTTCATTGTCCTAAAACCCTAATCTTTAACCATAATAGCATTTTTGAGTGTTCCTGAGCCCGAGCCTTGGTCTTGACTTTGGTGGTTTATGCTCCTTGAAGTGAAAGAAGAAGAAGCTAGAAGACCCATTCATTTGAAGGAAGCTTAGAGATCCAGATTTAGGTCCATCTTTTGGTGACTTTTGAGGTATAAAGTCCCAACCTTGATCCTTGTATGCTTAGATCTCGGCATGTCATGGTTTTTATGCTTTTGGTCCCTTTTGGGTTAGTTTGATGAGTTAAGTCGTTTGTGGAGCTTATCCTTTTAGATTTGGGCATATTATGACTTTCTTAAGCTTAAAGGTGCAAACTTTATGGGGTTTATGGTATCATGCATGCATTAACTCATCCATTAAGTCCTTTTGAGCTTCAAGATCTTCATTAATCCATGCATGCACGTAAAGTTGGCAACTTTACGTGATAAACCATCTCAAGGAAGTCAGATATTAGTTTTGGAGTGAAGTCTTAATGGATTAAGAGCTAGAAAATGGAAAATGGCTAGATAGAGGAGTACATTGGGCGTATAAGCAGGTACGCTTAGCATGCAATCCCTAAAGCGAGTATGTTATGCATACGTGTTGAGTACGCCCCGTGTACTCAGCCAATTGGGCTTCAGATGTTGTGGGCTTTGGTTTGGGCCATATTTAGACTTAGATGCTTAGGGCCTTGTTGGGCCATCAAGTTTTTAGGTTGATGCCTGTTTTGGGTTCTCTTGGAAAAGTCCTATGAAAGGGATTTGGGTCCAATTTGGAAAATTGGGCCATGATTGCACCTTGGATGATTATATTGGTAATTGGGCCTTTTGGATTATAGGTTTAGGCCTTAGGCTTGGACCAAACTAGGTAAGGGGTAACATAGTATTTTTACCCTAATTTTGGATTGATGGTTATCAATTACAATCCAATTATTAATTGGATGTTATTTAGTATTGATAGACTGGAGATTTGTTGGACCAATAGCCAAAGATTGATCAGTGTGATTCAGTAGTTCGATGTGAGTTTCCTCATTGTGCTTAGCGGTTCGAAGGCACTAATGTCAACCCATGATTTTATTATGTTAGGATGCTAGATGTCTGCATAACTCTTGCATGTGTTATGTACTCGTATGCTTACCGGGCGGGGCTCAATGACCATTTTGTATGCTATGTATCTTTATGATTATTGCATGTGTATGTATTTATATCTTATACATTTATATGTATACCGGGTGGGGCCCGATTTGTATATCGAGCGGGGTTCGATACCGGGCGGGGCCCATTATGTGTTTATTATGTATGGTATGTGGTATCTTGGAGAACTCACTAAACTTTGTGCTTACGATTTTCACTTTATGTTTCAGGTACTTCCAGTTCCAAAGGGAAGAGCTCGAGATGATTGCAGAGCACACACACCCCCTCGTGCCATATTTTCTTGATTTATTCTGATGTGATATGATGATCGATTCTGGATTTTTATGATGGTGTTTTTGGGGTATTGGTTTCATTAATTCAAAAATGATTTTTTTTGGGTCTTATTTTTGGGACGTTACACTTTCTGTTCCAAAAGAAAAGTTGATCTCAACATGATTAATTGCAAATTGTTACTGATTCATGTGATGCTTATCCCAAGCCCATTGATATGAGATTGCTTAGATTCAAGTGGAGCACACGATTGATCCAAAATTGCTTAGCATTGTTGTAATGTAGGTTTAGAGCATAAAAATTTTGTTGTGAAAATCTCTTTATTACATGGTGATTTGGAAGAAAGAATTCACATGGAGCAACCTATGTGTTATCTATTTATAAAACATATTAGTTTCTTTTCTGTTCATTCATTTCATCATTATTTTCCTTCCTTCCAACAAATGATTTATACATCTGTATCTACTTGCATCTTATCGAGTTTTACAAGAGGTCGTGATTTTGCCACAGAAAGTTTTCATTTTTCAACTGAAAAATTTATATATTGACATAGATACCCTTTAATTTAATTAATAAATAATTAATAGATAGATTAATAACCTTTTATTTAATTAATAAATAACTAATAGAGAGAGAAAGCCAATTTCCAAACGGCGTGCTACGAATGAAAACCATTCATCTTTCGCCGATCCTTCTTCATCCGTCACTGCTCTTCACTCTCTAGCCTGCTTTTTCCTCTTACTTTGAAATGCTAAGTGAACTTAATACATCTCTTGTTGTTTGTTCCTCTCGCTCCAACACTACTCATTGACCTAGAATTCTCATCAGTATGCTCCAAAAATTGACACTTTCCTCCAGTCGTTCATCCAAAAATCGACCGATGTATGTATGTGTTCATTTGTAATTCTTGTGAGTATGCTTTAATCGAAGGCCCCTTCTTGACCTAGAATACTCGTTGACATGACTCTATAATTTCCGTCGGTGCGTGTTAACCTGCAATTACCAACCAATATTTATGTATCTTTGCATGTTCATCTAAAGGTCATTTGATAGGTTGTTCTTTGATTATTTGAAAGTCTTTTTTAGTATCTAATTGTTATTCTTAGTTGACTTATTGCATGTTTCAATCACTCTACAGTGGTTCTTATAAATGTTTTTTTAATGTTGTGCATTTATTGTGGTTATTTTGTAGTGGTAAATTTATAATATTACGAACCTTTGAAAGAAACACTTTGCAATGGATAATTAAAGTATGATGTATCTCTGAAATTACAGGATGGATTGAAACATTTGTTTGTTATGACTATTTCTTTGTTGTGATTTGTAGAGGAAAATCTTAAATGGAAGAATAATTAAGCATATAAAAAGGAAACATGCAATCTTCTTTCTATTATTTATTAATTTTATAAACGGGTATAAATGGCAATAATAGATAGTATTTTCCGTAGATGAATAAAAAAATTTCCGTAGAAAATTCACTTCCCTTTTACAAGTCTAAGAGAAATTAAATATCCTCTTATATTTTCTTTTTATTTATATTTATATCCATATAAAATAGTGACAAATATTATATTTGGAGTGTATATATATATATATATATATATATATATATATATATATATATATATATAGCCTATTATTAAAGTAATCCTTAAATTCACAAATATCAACGACGAAATTTGAACCCTCATCCTTAACAAGGGAGGATAACATCGGATACCGCTGGACTAGAAATCATTTGGATAATATTAATTATATTTTAATACACTTATTATATTTTAAATGGATAGAAATATAAATATGAATGTTATATTTTAAATCGATAGAAATATAAGTAGTAAAAAGGTAAAAGAATTTCAAGTTTAATAATAAGAATGTTTTGTGGTTGGAATTTTCACACAACGATTTGTGTTTTGCTACACAATGTGATTTGGAGTTGCTACTTGAAACATTCATGTAGTTGAAAATATTATAATATAAGATAGCCACAAAAATCAAAAAGGATGTGTTGAGAATTTATGTTTGCGCAATTGGGGGCATTAATTGAAAAACATTAACCTCCACACGTTTGAGGGTATTTTGGGAATAGCGCCCACACGCACAATCCCTATCCCCCACTCCCAATTAATTAATCAATCAATCATTCTCGTTTCACGCAAAATCGCAAACAACACCGCTTTTCTGTTTTCAAATTCTCGTCTCCTGCTATCTATATATTTCTCTCTCCTGCAGCAACGACGACTTTCTCTCTCTGTGTGTGAATAGAGAGCTGGGGAGAAGGAGATGGCGAGGAGACCGGACGACGAGTACGATTACTTGTTCAAGGTCGTACTGATCGGAGATTCAGGCGTCGGTAAATCCAATCTTCTCTCTCGATTCACTCGAAATGAGTTTTGTTTGGAATCCAAATCCACCATAGGTGTTGAATTCGCTACTCGTACCCTCCAAGTACTCTCTCTCTCTCTCTCTCTCTCTCTCTCTCTCTCTCTGCTTATGATTTGATTCATGAAATTACTTGTGTTCGACTTATTTGATCTCAATTATGAGTTACGGTTACTGAATCTTAAGAAACTATAAGTTGACTCCGATATCAATGGTCATTTACTCATTTTATTGCTTGATCTGTTCGTTAGAGTTGATTTGGGGGTGCTACTGTTGTAGGTAGTTGATTGAATTTGAATTGTACACGGTTTTCACAAGTTAATTGTTTGCGTCATGATCTTTGTAGAGAAGTTAAGTACAGATTTAAACATTCGATAAGTAATTCACCAGATCAGTTTTCCTTAACTGTTTTTCTATCTGTAGTTAAAGTAAGTTAGCGTTTGAAGGCCTATGTCATGTACTCATGTTAATCGTTTTTCGTTCCAGGCTTTCAAATGGTCTAAAATTCCGATTCTGTCTGATGTGTTACACCAATTTCATTGCTTTCCATATCAATTATTGTAGCCTTTCTCCCTTAATTTGACAACGAGGAGCATTAACATGACTGAACTCTTGAATTTTTGAACTAATTCTAGATTTCACAAGTTACAAACGATGCTGAATTTCAGGATCCAACTTTCGCACAAGTACAAATTTCAGCCTCGAATTTCAGATAGCACACATAACATCATTATGTAGTTGACTTGACTGACTATTGAAGTAAATCTTTGCATATAAAACCATTGAAGTCTTAAAAAACAAACAAATTGAATTTTCATAAAAGGATTAAACGATTCAATTCATTCCCATTGACACAACTAACCTTCCGTAAGATTGTAGAAACTAAAATCTAACTATTCAAGATTTTATATCAATAACTCTAAATTCTCTCCATCAACTTAAACTTTTACATAAGAAATTTAAATCTTATTTTAGGTAGAGGGAAAGACAGTGAAGGCTCAAATATGGGACACAGCAGGACAAGAACGATACCGAGCTATAACAAGTGCGTATTATCGTGGGGCCCTAGGGGCACTTTTGGTATATGACACAACAAAACCAACAACTTTTGAAAATGTAAGCCGATGGCTAAAAGAACTTAGAGACCATGCGGATTCAAACATAGTAATCATGCTAATTGGAAACAAAACAGATTTGAAACATCTAAGAGCTGTTACATCAGAAGATGCTCAAACATTTGCTGAAAAAGAAGGGCTTTCGTTCATTGAAACGTCTGCATTAGAAGCTGTAAATGTTGAGAAGGCGTTTCAGACGATTCTTGGAGAGATTTATAGGATTATAAGTAAGAAATCACTTGCGATTGGGAATTCGGGAGGTGGAATTGGGAGTAGTGTTAAACAAGGGGAGACACTTGAGGTGGGGTCACAGGAAGTTAATGCAAAAAAGGCTTGTTGTTCTTAGTTTTTAAGTTTTGGAGAAAAAAAATTGGAATCGAGAGAGATTTGTTTGTGTTTTGAATTTATGAATTATGATTACTAGTAGTATTTGATTCTTGTTGTTGATGGTATGGTTGACTTTCTAACATACATACATATTGAGAGGTTTTGACTTTAAATTCTGTTGCTAGATATTGTCTTAAGGGAATGTGTTGTTTGTTTTTGACTTAATGGATTAAGCCACAAAAACATGGTGGAAATGTGGAATGTATTAAGACATCAGCCATCTAGGTATTTACCTTTCTATTTTTTCCCTAAAACTTCTTTGATGTTGAAAATGACATATTGTAGATTTTAAAGAAGATAAGGATTGTTGAAGGCGAGAGATATGTTAAAATCATCATTTTTATAAATTTAACGGCTGAATGGTTTGTGGACAAAATTGTAATTTAGTGTTTAATTTTATTATTTTTCCTTGCTGTGAATGTAATGTGTTTACTTTTAAATTATATTTGTTAATTATGAAAGAAATTGGATGCTTAAAATCAATCAGATGCTATTTTCGATAGAATTTTTATAAAATCAAGTAATTATGCTAAACTTTGATTCCAATGCAAGATCTGGTTGATAGTGTTGCTTATAGTACAAGTTGTTTTCGTGACAAAATGTTTAGTACAACCGATGATAAGTCAGTAATGAGTATAGAAAAAAAAGTGTTGTAAATAAGAGGCATTTAGAAATAAGGACACATTATATATATATATATATATATATATATATATATATATATATATATATATATATATATATATATATATATATATATATATATATATATATATAGACACACACACATACACTAACCGTTTAGTCGCGCCAAGTGACGGGTGCGAATAGTTTTTTTTTCCAAAATTAGTTTCTACAGACGATTAGTTCTTTTACGCAAATAAGTTACTACATCTAAATAATTATCAAGTGATGGGTCTAAATAATTTTTTCATAGATTTTTTCTATTTCATGATAACATATTTGATTTCAGAGAACAAAAAATATATTATAAATATCTAAGTCCAAAACCCTAAAGTCTATCGTGTGCATTTATTCTTTTATGTTATGTATTATAAACATTTAAGTCCAAAATAGATCATTTATTGTGTTATATTACAACAATGTCCAAAACCCTAAAACCAAAGTTTCCTTTTAAGAAAATTAACAAAATTTTTTTATCACTCAAACTTGTCAAGAGGTGGTCACAAAAAATAAATTTTAAGAAATAGAAAATCTTTATGTTTATAGATGCAATTTTCATAGAAAATAATTAAATCTAAAAGTAGCAATGTATGTTTGCATCTAAATGAAATTTTACAATGTACAAGTGCAAGAAAATAAATGAAATAGCTATTAAATGTATGTTTAGTATTTAAATGAAATTTTACAACATAGAGGTGCAAGAAAATAAATGAAAGTATGTAGCTATTAAATGTACGTTTATCATTAAAATGAAAATCTTATATTGGGCCTTAAATTGGTTGGATCAGCTTGACCTTCAGTTTCATCTTTAGATTTTGGTTTCGGGTACATGACTTTATTTTTTTTTGAGAAAAGTGTTTTAATAGTGACAAATTCTATATTTCACTAAAGGTAAATTCTTTCTTTCAAATGTATATTTTGATTTATTTTTAAAATTTTGTTAACCGAATTATAAAAGAGTAAATTATGTGTTTAGATTTACTTTTTGTTTTGACCATCTACGGTTAACATATTTATAAAAAATCAAGAAAATAAGATAAAAACTATTTAATTACAAAAAAACTAGAGAAGAAACCCAGCGCTGCCGGGTTTGAATCCATAAAACCCATCACAACACCTTTGTTGTTTGTCGGATCTAAATGTAAAACAAAACAAAATAGTTCCACTTCTCATTGTTAAAACCAAAAACAACATGGTACATAAAATTTAATGGATTATATTTCGATTAGCAAAACCGAAAACCAATAAACATTAGGGGAAAAAAAAACAAAACCAACATTGTGTTGTTTTCTGTAAATTATCCTTAGCTTCCACAAAAAGAATCGTTCATTCCACTCTCTTCAAACATCACTTTTGGGCCTCCTTTTAGCTGGTTTTTATTTTATTTATTTATTTATTTATTTTTGTAGACACCAAATCATCAGACTTCTTCTGCACCGAAAAATAGCAACCAACTTTACATAACTTTTAATTTCCAACATCATAATTCATATGTAATAAAACAAAGTAATTTACCATCTTTAACCTCTTCTTCTGTCTCTGTCTCCCTTTATTTTTCTTCAAATCTTGTCCTTCATTCTTCTTAGAGTATAAAACAATTCAAAATTTGTCAAATTTCTATAAAAGAAAACCTGAATGGGACCGACATATTAACACAATATTCGCAATAATCACATAACAAATAACAAATTACAAACCATTGCAAGAGCTAAAGTTGCAGCATGTCTTTCTTGGTGAGTTTCTCCTTCTATTTCTCCATCACTATCTAGCATCATCTTAAGCCTTCCTTCCTTCAATAGTTTCACAGATCGACTATGCCTCTACATTAATAACTAAAAGATTTAATACATTTTGTTGTATAAAAAAATTAAGCATTGTTTATATTTTATAAACATTGGATTGAAGATGAGCCTTTAATGTTTCTTCTATTATACAAACGATTCTTGGGCATAACTTGCACTTGAAAACCGATTTACTTTTCAAGACACAATCAATAAGATCATTTTTGATTGCCTCTTTGTTGATATTGTGTGTGTTATTCATATCTAAATTGTTTTCAGAAGACAAAAGGAACAAAATTTATAACAGTTGAAATATAATTATATAAACATAATTATATAAACTAAATACAAATAACTCAACTTGAAGAGTCAAGAGTAGTTTCATCTGCTGACCCATCTTCACTTTCATATCCTAAAACACAAGATTTTATAAGAAATTAATTTGAGGATTTACAAAATCATGAAGTGAAATATAATTATATTACTAATATACTAGAAGATGAGGAGGAATGTTGGTCTTTCTTTCTTGATTCCATGACCATGTTGTCATTATTTTCTTCTTCTTCATCATCTGTGTGTACTGATGCTTCTGCATCCAGTTCAGATTCTGAAGATGATGAAGAATACTTTAAGCTATGTATAGATTTGCACGCAACTGAAAATAGTATATTGATGGAAGAAATCAATCAAATTCTCACAATCTTAGAAGATCAAGATCCCTGATTTTTTTAAGGATCACGTGCTAAAAATCTATCATCCTTATCATAAAGTTAAGATCTTAAAAAGATTATAGACCTCTAAACACCATCAAACAAAAACTTACATATTTAGAATGAATAAAGTGATTATTATGAAGTTCTATTTGGACATGAGTTAGTTTGCAAAATCAAAAGTGTAAATACTCAAACCTGACCATACTACAAATCCCAAACTAATAAATTAGAAAATATAGGTAGTTAAACCATTAAAGATGTAAGAAGAAAGCAAAGTATGATACACCAATAGTTCCAATGAAATGAGATGAAACTAAAGACTAAGAGCATAGTAATGGATTTGATAGGTAGAACCTGGATATTTTTAGTTAGCCTTCTTTTCTTCTTGTCGTCCTATTTAAACAGTCACACCAAATTCACGTATATAATTCTTACCCTGCAAAAACCAATCAATTCTGAATGAAAATAGTTTTGATAATAGCAAGAAACGAAAATGGGGTTCATCCCTTTATGTAACAACGTGAAATTCCAACCAATTTTTTTTTTTCAAATTTCAAAAAACACATTTGTAAAACACAAAATATCATGATGTCAAATCATCAAATTTCACAACAAAAACTATTTGTATTTCAAACTCTAGGATCTTATAAATCATAACTCAATCGCTGATGTGTGTACAATCATGCCGGCGCCTTTCCGTGATCTTTATATTTGAGATGTTTTGATGAGGATTTAAACATAGGATGGATTTACCCACTTAATAGTGAAGTAACTTACCTAGTATGTGATCTTGAAATAATCCACCTTTAGCTAACCCACACAAATCACGATTTTTAGAGAGGAAAGGGGAGGATATTTCTTTGTTTCCTTGAGAGATCAGAGAGAATTTCTTAGAGAGTTTGAAGTCAGAATGAAGATGGTGGTGAGTTGCTTAGGCCGAGAATAAGAAGAAGAGAGAAGAGAAGAGAGTAGTGAGATGTGATGGTTGCAGAGATACTTGAGATTGCATAAATATTTGTGGGATAATTTGCATGGATATCCTCCATGCAAATATTATGTGTCATCCATGGAATTAACTCAACATTTTTTTTTTATTTTTGATCATGGGCTGTGAATGAAGAGGGATGGGGTTTACGGCCTAATTACATTGAAGAGATGGGTTTACGTCCCAATTACATTAAAGAGATGGGTTTAAGTCCCATCACTGTTCAAGAGAGTGGTTCACGGCCCATTGGGTCCTTCTTATGGGTTTACGGCCCAATAGGGCTTATTAACCCATTTACGACCCATTAAGACACATGATGACAAGGTGAGACATTTTAGGCCCAATAAGGTCCATGAGAAGTCTTATGGCCCAAAATGCTATTATTTCATGTATATGGGTCTATTTAAGGTCCATATAGGGTTCCTCGACCCAAAATAGTCCAATTGAGAGTTTACTGGCCCATTAGGCCCAACATGAGGATCCTGGTCCACTCTGAGTTTGAACCGGGTTATTACGGTTTCAAACCTATAGCTGAGTATATGAGATGTATTGAATTAGGTTTTAAACTTCACTCAAGAAATTTGGTTCAAATGGATGATTTTGAATGAGCATAGTACTTGACATCAACTTAGATTACAAGTTATACAAGAATTGATCTTTACATGACGACATAATTTCTTAGTTTCTTGTTGTTGATGGTATGGTTGACTTTCTAACATCCATACACATTGAGAGGTTTTGACTTTAAATTCTGTTGCTAGATATTGTCTTAAGGGAATGTGTTGTTTGTTTTTGACTTAATGGGTTAATGAGTTCAGAAATTAATTGCTACAACTATATGTGGATCTTTTTTTTTTACCCAATTTAATAGATTGAACACTATATATATGGTTGTTTCTTTTTAACTTGATCCGGACAAAATGACTTAATAGGTTAACCATAAAACTTGCTTATTGTATTAAGACACTAGCCATCTATGTATTTTCCCTTCCTACTTTTATACCCTCAACTTCTCTCATGTTAAAATAGATGAATAATGTTAAAAGTGATAAATATTGTAGATTTTAAATAAGATAAGGGTGAAATGATCTTTTCCTATATAACTTTTAATTTTTTATTTGATTTTTGAGATATGGTTAAATTGTGTTTAATTTTTGGAGTTTGCTAAAGGAAATGGAGAAAAGAGAGAATATAAGGATAAAATAGTGATTTTCATAAATGTAACGATTGAACTAATAAGATAGATGTTATGTGGACAAAAGATGTAATAAAACTATATTTTATCAACCATCTATACAATAAATCAAATATTTTTGACCAAATTTATACATTTTAAGA